TGTTATTTTTCTTAAATCGCCTACTACAGTAGTTACACTTCAACTTTCTATCCAAACCTGCTACTATTAAACCAGCTAATTAGCGCTAGCTGTTATGAACATTATCGTCTAACTTTCTTTGATGCAGATTTTCAATCGTGCAGTTGTTTTTGTTCATTTTTTGTTTGTATTGTGCCGCTGTACATTCATTATTGATTTCATTTCAAAAAAATGAAAAATTGACCAATTAGACGATTAGATTTATATTAATCATTGTGAATCCTGCATCAATGAATCAGGCTCTACAAGTCTATTTAGCACCACAGCAGACCGGGGGGGGGGGGGGGGGGGGGNNNACAGGTCCAATTGACCACCACTAACAGAGAACCATAATGAAGACAAGGTGCTGAGTACCAGAACATTCCATCCATTTGTGGTTTTTGAATGGACATCTGCTGCGTCCTTTGTCTTCATTTAAAACCAGGTTCAGTTGCTGACATCCTGTTTGTACACTGTCTTTATGAGGTTGAATAAAATCCACATTTTTGAGGCCAAAGGGCGGCTCTTCATCTGAAGATTCAAGTGTGTGTAAGAGAAAGTGTGTGTGTCTACTGGTTGTTGTTGTGCGTTATGAACAGGGTGCACAGAGGGTACACAGTATTGATCCTGTGAAAACAGGGGGGCTGGTGATCCAGCGAGCCGCGGTGGAAGCGAAGAGTCCAGAACGAGAGGGAAACAGATTGAGACTGTGATTGAGGCTGTTTCATAGCAACAGCAACGAACGCAACTCCTTACTCAGGCAAGTTGACCCAGTGGCTGTTTGATGAATCAGTGTATTTAAATTTGACATTTCATTAGAAATAAACTTACAATTGAATGACAGTTACCTTAATTTACCCATAAAGCCATGGGCCCTTTTGCAAACATCCTGTTCGGCATTGGTAATTACATGCTCTTGCAGCTGAATAGCTGATTAGCTGAAAGAGGAGCGCAGTTCCTATAATGGCCTCTAAAAGCCTTTCGGCGCAGTTCGCCAAACCCCACAGCCAGATCACGACCTGATGATATTTCACTTCCTTCTAGTCATGGGCAAATTATATTTTGCAAATAACCTTTCTGTTTTATCTGTTTCTGTTTTATCAGCTGCGCAAATCCATTATGGTTGAATTAGATTTTTTTTTTTTTTTTTGGCAGAATTTTTAAAGTCATGAACAACAGGAATGACTTGTCCAATCCACACTGTAGCTCGAACATTTAGTTTCCGCCGTTAGTTCAATTTAGTAGCAATACAATGGCACAAAATGATAAATGCGACTTTAAATACGTATCAATGTGCCGTAAAGTCCATATAAGAGCAGAGAGTGTGTCCTAACTCCTTACAGTCTCGTTAACCAACGAAAAGCCTCGGCGTCCTGCCGTAATGCCAGACATAATTACACTAATAGACCATGAATAAAGCTGAAGTGGACACTTATTACACGATACATCCACTGCTTTGCAACGGTAAAGAGCACGGCTGATTATTATTGTGCGTCCAAGATAAATGTACGGAGAATAAAAGCTCTTGCCTTTTTTACATGTAGCTGTTGAAGGTTTGCTTTGTTCGACTCCATCTGGATATAAATCACGAAGAGCGGACACCATGAGATACTGCAGCATGTTGATTATTTAAATATTGAGTTACATTAAGGTACGGGTCGGCTTCCGTCACTTTGATGCCGTCAGTGAGATTATGATGCGCCACCTACTGGTCAGATTGTGTTAAGACCATCTGATTCAAGCAATTCAAAAGCCGACAAGAATATTTTTAAATTTGACTTTAAATTAAAATTTCTCTAGAATTTTTTTTTAATGCAATTCAAAAGCCGACAAGAATATTTTAAATTTGACTTTAAATTAATTTTTTTTAATATTTTCATAATTTCAGATGCCACTTGTAAATTAAAATTAATCAAAAAGAACATCCTTTTATGTGGAAATCGACTTAACCGAGATGTGTTTTTAGTCATTAGATGTTTATATTCCTACCTACTTATATACATAACAACACCATCTTACATCACATGACATAATGCACAGTGAACGTGAGTCAGGAGGCCTAGCATAGCAACAGCGGCAATGCTAGCAATTAGCATTCTAAACATCAGGTAGGTCAAAGTAAAATGCTAGCTAACTAATATTGTATAGCAACGGTTCGCTAGGTATAGCGAACCTTTGCTATAGGATTGTTACAGTTCAGATTATTACACTGGAAAAAAAAGCATAAAGGACATTTTTCAGAAATTAAAAAAATAAGGGTCCCATCGATACCGAGGTCACTTCACCAGAGAGCGTTGGACGGACATGTGGCATTTGAACCGGCAGTCATCACTCGCTGTACGTGTCAGTGCAGGAGGTGAGCACTTGTTTGCATTCGAGCCGCGTGGGTTTTTGTCGTTCAGATGAAGAGTACAAGAAAGCGCTGTACCTATAGCCATAGATCAATGTGTCATGAGATAATGAGAATTTCTCTGCGCTGCTCTTATGAGATGTGAAACGACACAATGCATCATTAATCAGCATACTGCAAGCAAACGCAATCCCTCCCCGAGACAGTTAAACCACGAGCTCGGCTACGAGCGCCGCTAACTGGGGAAACGCTCGCCTCTGTTTCCTGCCGTTGCGTCAGTTGTTTAACCAGAGTGAGAGTCTTTCTGTCTTACTGTGTGAGTACAAGACAATCAGGGCTTTTATTGGATATGTCTGCTTGTTGTCTGGAGTCAGTTAATGTGTGAGAGATTCGCCGCATCAGCCGCAAAGTCAAATGTTTCGTCTTCGGTTGTAAATTTAAAACATTGCTGCATCAGAGTTTACAAAAAGCAAGTGATTTGAAATTAGAAGGCAAAAAAAAAAAAAAAAAAAAAAAATGGAAGGCTGATATTAGTTGATTGCAGACATGCTGTCCATCTAAGGCACACTTGAGTATCTGCTATTCTCCAGCCTGCAGTTTTTAAATTGAATTCAAACTCTACTCATATTTAATGACACTGAAAACAACGGGCAGCTCAGTTGCTGGGTGTCATACTATTTGCAGTAAAAACAGATGAACAGTAACTTCCTTGTCTCATAAAATATATGTAATTCCGAAAACTGCGCAGGGTTGCAATCATCTCCCTATCTGCCTCCGAGTCATTCAAGTTTTTTTTTTTTTTGTGGCCGATAATTTTTTCCTTCTTCTCGCGGCAGAACCTCGCCTGTTGGCTGCTGTGATCTGCTCTGAGATCCATAAAAATGTGTTTCTCATCTTATTCCTATTAAATAAAAGCCACCGGCGTAACAGACACTGGGCACAAAAAAAATAAATAAAAAGAGATATTTTCTGATTAAAGTTTTATCACGAGCTGAGATAATCTGCTGTTTGTACACCCTGACACACGTGCTGTTACAGAGGGGGCGCCGACAGACAAATGGCAACTTAAAAGTTTGTTAAGAACGAAAGATCCTGAAGGAAGGACACTGACATTCTGTTTGAACGCACGTTACGTTGCGACAAGCCAGGCTAGCCTCGTTAAACCCGATAATTGATCAAACAAGTCTGTTTGATAAACCTCAAATCTCAACAACTTGGTTTTCTCCAACACGTCCTAGGATGGATACAAAAACACGCTTCAAGAAATGTTTGACATTTAACAAATAGTCAAAAATTACATTCAATTGCAGTTTAACCTTTAAACATTTAATCACATCCGTTTCAGTGCAACACTCCGCTGTTGTCAGGCTAGGCACGTCAGCCACTCGGGGCTGTGCGTGCTGAGTGAAGGATGAATTGAATTTTGACTCGAAAGAAGTAGAATCTTCTGCCTCTTGTTGTTAGGTTAACTTGTACGCAAATGGTGGGGCGGGTCCCCGTTGGGGGGCGGGGGT